CTCCCACCCTCCCTATCCCACGCCTCTAGGCAGTCACAAAGCACTGAGCTGATAGCCCTGTGCTATGCAGCTGCTTCCCACTAGCTATCTATTTTACATTTGTTAGTATATATAAGTCCATGCCACTCTCTCACTTCATCCCAGCTTACCCTTCCCCCTCCCCATGTCCTCAAGTTCATTCTCTACATCTGTGTCTTTATTCCTGTCCTGACTCTAGGTTCTTCAGAACCTTATTTTTTTTTTTAGATTCCATATATGTGTGTTAGCATACGGTATTTATTTTCCTCTTTCTGACTTACTTCACTTGGTATGACAGTCTCTAGGTCCATCCACCTCACTACAAAAAACTCAATTTCGTTTCTTTTTATGGCTGAGTAATATTCCATTGTATATATGTGCCACATCTTCTTTATCCATTCATCTGTCGATGGACACTTAGGTTGCTTCCATGTCCTGCCTATTGTAAATAGAGCTGAACACAATAGAACATTGTGGTACATGACTCTTTTTGAATTATGGTTTTCTCAGGGTATATGCCCAGTAGTGGGATTGCTGGGTCATATAGTAGTTCTATTTTTAGTTTTTTAAGGAAACTCCATACTGTTCTCCATAGTGACTGTATCTATTTACATTCCCACCAACAGTGCAAGAGGGTTCCCTTTTCTCTACACTCTCTCCAGCAATTATTGTTTGTAGATTTTTTGATGATGGCCATTCTGACTGGTGTGAGGTGATACCTCATTGTAGTTTTGATTTGCATTTCTCTAATGATTAGTGATGTTGAGCATTCTTTCATGTGTTTGTTGGCAATCTGTATATCTTCTTTGGAGAAATGTCTATTTAGGTCTTCTGCCCATTTTTGGATTGGGTTGTTTGTTTTTTTGATATTGAGCTGCATGAGCTGCTTGTAAATTTTGGAGATTAATCCTTTGTCAGTTGCTTCATTTACAAATATTTTCTCCCATTCTGAGGGGTGTCTTTTTGTCTTGTTTATGGTTTCCTTTGCTGTGCAGAAGCTTTTAAGTTTCATTAGGTCCCATTTGTTTATTTTTGTTTTTATTTCCATTTCTCTAGGAGGTGGGTCAAAAAGGATCTTGCTGTGATTTATGTCATAGATTGTTCTGCCTATGTTTTCCTCTAAGAGTTTTATAGTGTCTGGCCTTACATTTAGGTCTTTAATCCATTTTGAGTTTATTTTTGTGTATGGTGTTAGGGAGTGTTCTAACTTCATTCTTTTACACATAGCTGTCCAGTTTTCCCAGCACCACTTATTGAAGAGGCTCTCTTTTCTCCATTGTATATTCTTGCCTCCTTTATCAAAACTAAGGTGACCATATGTGCATGGGTTTATCTCTGGCTTTCTATCCTGTTCCATTACCACTGCAACAAAAAGAATAAAATACCTAGGAATAAACCTACCTAAGGAGACAGAAGACCTGTATGCAGAAAACTATAAGACACTGATGAAAAAAATTAAAGATGATACAAACAGATGGAGAGATATACTATGTTCTTGGATTAGAAGAATCAACACTGTGAAAATGACTATACTACCCAAAACAATCTACAGATTCAATGCAATCCCTATCAAACTACCAATGGCATTTTTCACAGAACTAGAACAAAACATTTCACAATTTGTATGGAAACACAAAAGACCCCAAAGAGCCAAATCAATCTTTAAAAAGAAAAACGGAGCTGGAGGAATCAGGCTCCCAGACTTCAGACTATACAACAAAGCTACAGTAATCAAGACAGTATGGTACTGGCACAGAGACAGAAATAGAGATCAATGTCCATCTATTGCTAAACAGATCCATTCTCTTCCTTCACTCTAGTTACTGGCCTCTTCGTATATCTTAACTCAACCCCCTACACAGTGTCTATGGTGTAAAATAGCAGTTTTCACACTTTTTTTTCTAAAGCCACGGAATTCAAAGAAAGCTTTAAAAAAAGATTAGGCTGGTCTGGCTAAAACAGGGGAGATAAAATTAGAGAGGTAGCCAGGAACACACCTTGTGTGTTAGGGTGTTTAAGCATTACCATGAAAGCTACGGGGAGCAAATAAAGGATTTCAAGGGAGAAAAAACACATCAGACTTGTGCATTTTGAATGATTCCTCTGGCAGATGTGAGGAAGGTAATTTTAAGAGGGTCCAGACAGAATCAGAAAGACTTGGAAGGAGAATATGAGGAATGTAAAGGATATTAAGGAATCAGAATCAACAGAACTTGCTGTCTGTGTATGAAGGCAGTGAAAGAGAGACGTATAGTATGTCTCCCAGGTTTCAAGCTTGGACAATTATTGATGCAGGGTTCAGCAGCTGCCAATTATGGAAATGGGGAAGATAGGAGGAGGAACAGATTTAGGGAGAAAGACATTGAGCTCACTTTTGAACACAACAAGTTTGAGGAAGATACCTAGTAACCTATTTGGGTAAAGGGATGTGGAAATCAGCAGAATCTGGCTTAGATACCCGGCTTGTATCCAAGTCTATGTTACTATTTGCATACTGTTCTCAGCCTCTACTTAACTGCTCAAAGTTCGTATTAAGTAAAGTCTTTTTCAACTAAATTGTCTATAAAGTCTTGCTTTCTTCCAATATGTTCTGCAAAATGTAGGTTGTCTGCCACACTCGTTACTGCAGTAATTATTTCTCTCTTTCTCTTTCCAAAGTGCTCTTTGCATAATCTGAGTTTTGAGCCTTATTCAGGGTTCTCTGCATTCAGAGAAATAAGGAAGGTTTTGCTTTGTGCACTTTGGCAGAAACAGTAATTTCTGTCTAGAATCTGAGCTCAAAAGAAGATTTAAAGGCTCTAGCTGTGAAGAAACAGGAATTAATAGAAAACCATGGGTGTAACCTGCAGAAGGTAAAACAGACTAGGTTGATATATGTGGTAAGAAAAGAGGTGCTATGTATAATAAACTAAATATATTATGCTTTGTTTAGATGGTTAAATTGTGCTATGCATTGTTTTCTGTTACATTTTAACATGGTAGTTTTCAAATTTGGGTTGAAAGTCTCTGAGGGGCCACTGGGAGGGTTGCTAGGTATTGATAGCTGGGACTTCAGGCCCATCACCACTATTTCAGCCAGAACAACCTAATCTCTTTTACATAGGCTTTCATTGAAGAAAGGATTCTATGGCTTTTTTTTTTTTTTTTTAAGGGTGAAAATCACTGTTTTTTGCAAGAGGCTGTAAGACATAAGAAGAGGTCAGTAGAGATCAGTAGATGGACATCTAGGTAGTATTAGGATGATAACTGCAGAAAGTTTCAGGCAACCTGGAGATGCACAGTGACCAAACCTCTCGGCACTTCCAAGCAAATTCCTCACCAAGAAGAGAAATATCGTGATGGACTGGCTGCGCATGGACTTTGGGGCCCTACTTGGTTGGAAAGAGGGGCTTAAAACTGCTTGTATTCAAGATGAAAAATACACTGTCCAAACCAAATAATTGGAGGGAGGGGATGTTATTGACATGACAGAGGGCTAAAGTCCTCCAAGTCCTCTCTTGGAACCAAAATGAGTGCACATGTGCAGATTTATGGAGACAATCACAAAGGGATTATGCAAGCCATGTGACAAGAGGAGGTTGACAGCTGTGATGTCAGAGGCAGTGAAATGCAGGATGTTCCTTAAATGGGCCACAAATTTTCTGCCAATATTTTTTTCTCCATTTGGAACAATTTCCTTCCTTTTTCAATTATCTAATCTCTACCTCTTCTTCAATAACTCGGTTCAAACATTGTCTGAAACAAGAAGCCCAATAAAAGTTGAACAGATGGCCTTCTTTGTGATACTAACAGGACATAATTCTAGTCCATTTAAATACTGATTTACTTTTGTTCCCTCACACCTTAGCTTCTTAAAGGCAACGCACAACATCTAAATCTGCATTTCCAAAGTTTACCACAGTAAGAACCTAATGTCTGTTGAATTAATAAATCCACAAGGCTTATATTAAGATCTCTTCAAAGTAATTTGGGTGGAATTATTTACGGAATTCTCCTGATTCAGGCAAGTGTTTTAAAGGTGAAATAAAACATGCCCATGATTAAGGAAGACGGGAGAAAGGAAAGATGTAGTATTTTGAGTTTGTGTGTGTGTGCGTGTGTGAAGAAAGTGAGGCAAGAAGTGATAAAAATGTCTCTCGAATAAGACATTAAGTGACTTGATTAAGGTATCTCAAATAAAGTTACAGATATAAGTCACAACCAATGTATTGGAATGTACGTGTTGGGGACAGTGGAGAAATGACACAAACTTATTCAAGTTTTTTGGATAGTGAAACAACGACCTTCATGTTGACTCGCAAAACTAGCGTCCTGAACAAAAGATGCTCCCAGACAAAATGTCCAAGGACACCAAAGAAAACTATCGCAACACAACAGAGAGTGAGTTAAGTTTTTCTGCACGCTTTCAAAATTGCCTTCTGCTCTCTCCTGCTCTCCTGCTTTTGGTAAATCAAACCCACCCTTGCTCAAATCAGACAAAATATCTTAAAACACTTAAAACAAAAACACCGTGCCTTGAAATGCAAAGATGGGTCTTGGGCTGTGGACTGCGGTGAGTCCCTTCCTGGGACGGTGCAGTGAAGCTGACTCCCCAATGTCTCCGGGGGGTTCCGATGGCACCGACTGCGCTGTGGGCGAGCAGAAGCCCCGGGGGGTTTCAGGAGCAGAGCCCAGACGCCCTCCTGCCGCCGCTTGGGCGGGACGACGTCCCCACGGTCCGGCGGAAGACGAGGTGAAATGCGGCTTCGAGGCCAGAATGGGAAACTCTGGCGCCGGTAGAGCCGGCGCCGGTAGCCCCCTAGCTCCACCTGGCCCGCAACCCGGAAGCAGATGCGAGACGCGCTGCGTGGCTGGCTTGCGGTTCCGGGTCGGGCCGCGCTGCGGGCAGCGCTGCTGGCCGCGCTCGGCTCACGGTCGCAGTGACCCGCCCCCGCTCTCCGGACCTGGGCAGGCGGTGGGCGCTCGGCCGCTCCCGGGGCCACATGGCTGAGGGGGACGCAGGGAGCGACCAGAGGCAGGTGAGGCCCCGGCGGGGAGCCGACCTTTAGGCTCGGCTCGGCCTCGCCTCACCGTCCCGGGCCTCTTCGGCCGAGGGGCCTCTGTCCGGGGCCGCCCCCGGTCTCGCCCGCACCGCCCGCGCCCGAGGCCGCGCCGTTCGCTCCGCTGCGTCCCATTGCCCCGGCGCTTGATCTCAGCAGATTGCTCTCGGGCCGGTCGCTTACGGGCGTCGGCGTCCTGGGCCTGCTTCGGGCGCTGTCATTGTCAACCATCAGCATGCGATTGAGCAGCTCCCGGCCGGAGGCAGAAACTCGGGTTCTGCTCCCCGCCCTGTCCCCGCCGGGTCACCTTGGACAGGTCACTTAAGAACCGTTTCTGCTTTCGCAAAACGGGCAATAATAACACAGACCCTGGAGTCACTGAACCTTCCTCCTCTTGGCGTTGAGCTTTTCCCAGCGCGTGGCTCACGTGGGCGCTCTTAAAGATTTTCCGAATGCGCTATGAGGACAAAATGAGACGATACAAACTTGAATGTATACTTTGCTTCCCATTTTTACTTTTAGGTCCGGTTTTATTCTTCTTTAAGCCGAAACCAAAAGAGTAATTTCTGAAATGTTTCGAGGGTTTGATGACCAAAAACCCCAACAACCGCCCAGCCTCGTGCCCAAATTCAAAACAAAAACAACGAAGGAGATAGCCAGTAGTAATATAGGGCGAATATAATAAGTAACTGCCACAAGGGTGTGGGGGCGTGGGGTTACCTGTTAAAAAGAGAAGGTGGAGCAGAGGAGTTATGTTTATCCTTTCACTTGTAAATCTCACTGCAGGATATGGAAGTGCATGTATATTTTGGCTCTGTAGTGGTCAAAAGCACGGTGATTTAGTAGCAAGGCTGGTGCCAGTCATTGCAATCGTGTCTGGTACCCAGAGAGTAGAACATGGTGACCGGCTAATGAGAACGTTTGGTATTGTTCATTCAGTGATCCTTCATCCAAGCTGGTGATGTTAAACACAAATACCTTATAAAGCAATAAGGAAAACTCAGGTTTTTAGGGTCGGTGCATTCTTTGACTTTTTTTCCCCCCATCAACCTCTTTCAGAATGAGGAAATTGAAGCAATGGCAGCTATATATGGCGAGGAATGGTGTGTCATTGATGACTGTGCCAAAATATTTTGTATTAGAATTAGCGACGATATAGATGATCCCAAATGGACCCTTTGCTTGCAGGTATTTTTGCCCTTCTCTACAGCCATTTTCCAGTTACAGTGTTGACTCTTGTATGATTGACTGCTGTTGTATTCCTCTAATGATTATTCTTGTGTGACTTGTTCTGAATTGTCTTTTTGTTGTTGGCTTTTGTTAACGATTGATGATTTAAACATAATGGGTAATTAAATCTCAGATCACTCTCAAGTAATGCTTTCATAGATGGTCTCAATCTTTTCTCTCCCAATTATTTTATTTATTTAAGTGTTCTTAATGCACCATTGGCAGACTTGAGTTTCACTCCCTTTCACTATCCTGTACGTTTAATAGAAGAGAGTCTAAACCTGAGAAGATGACTAACATTTAAGAGGAAGAATAGGTTAGTTATTTAGATGGTTCATAGAGTAGATACTCATTTCTTTGTTAGTTGGGAATCAGTTGTGGTTCGGATAAATGAAAACATCAGCTATGGCTTTCTATTTTAATGCTTATTCTTTGATGACTGCCTATACTTCCAACATAAAAGATGCCAAATTGAGTTTTTGTCAGTGTTTGTTTTTATAGTAATACTGATTTGAAAAGAAACGTGCATGGTTCTTTATTAAGTGTTAGCTATTTAATGTATTTAATAGTGTCTGGTAGGATTCTTTTTTTTTAATTTCTTAAGAAAAATATCTGGAACATGTTATAATGCCGCTCTTTCATTTGGGGTTGGGGTATATTGCCCCTATTTCAGTTTTTCTTTTCCTTTTGTTTTTGTCCTCCCCACTTATTTTCTAATTTTCATTGCTTTTATACTTTCTCTGCAAATAATGATCTCCTTCTTAAAAGATTGGCATCATCTTAACAACATTTAAGGCAGAAGCATAAATATGAGGTGGGAATTCCCTCCTGAAATTTAATAAAACAATGGTTTTGTTTCTTAGTTTGGCAAGTTAGAAATCTGTCCAATGATTGGCTTTATGAATGTTGTTATTATTGAGCCATGATGAAGTATAAGCAGATTTGTTTTTAAACTGCTTTGTAGGTGATGCTACCGAATGAATACCCAGGTACGGCGCCACCTATTTATCAACTGAAGTAAGCTATATTTCTACATTTATATTTTTTTTAAAAAAGATTATACTTTTCAAAGTTTATTTCTCTGTACTGTACATTGTGTTTATATAGACTACCTTATCAAAATGTATATAGAAATTAAAAACACCTTTTGGACTTGATGTAGAGCATTTAAACTTAAAAATTAAATTATGTAAAAACACTTTGAAGTTTGCCACTTAGTATAAAAGAGAATCAGAGGATCCATAGGGGGTAAAATAGCTACAGAATTGTCTTTAGAGACAGGGAGGGAAATCTTCCTCTTTAGACAACCTAGCAATCTAGAAACCTTGGCCTATAGAGTTGCTCCTAACCTGGTTCTGCTGACCTCGCCAGTTCCTTGACATGCCTCTGTGTAAGACGGCCTGCCTTCCAGGAATTGCCCATGGTGCTTGTGGTGCTTGTCCTGCCCTTGTTGTGGAGGAGCCATCTCAGCAGCCCAAGCGCAGTCTTAATGAGTCATGACGTGTTGATTGCAAGTAACCTTTGATCCACCTTGCCTGCTTGACCTACTAAGCTGTATAAACCTGTGCAGGCAGAATTGCATTAAATCTCAATTACTAAAATTTTTACCTTCCAGTAGGATTGTCTTTTGTATGAGTGTTTTAAAACCATAGCGGTAAAATTTGCTATTACTCATGGTTCTGTAATTTGTCATTTTTATTGACAATGAAAGGTATTATAGAATGCTTGTAAACATCTGTGCCCTTTTCAGAAAAAGTTGATTATTTTTCTTACAGTCATGTGGCAACTGACTTATTTATTAGAGTTGTTTTTGAGACACCAAGTTAGAAAAAATTGGGGAGTCCTGATAGTGTGGCAAATACTGTGAATCTGGAAATTTAGATTCTGAAACCTCTTCTGCCGCTTAGGTAAACTAGGGAAGATTTATGATATCCTATGAACTCCCCTGTTTTTTAAGCCATATTTTAATTGAATAATAATGGTGTTGGCTTCATCATGGTTTTGGGGGAGGAATAAATGAATAATGCCAGTGAAAGCATTTTGGAACTGTATCGATTTATACAACATAACATTTTGATGAAAATAGAAAAATTTTTAAAGTTAAATAAAACCAGTTTGTGATTAATCAGTATTTTTTCTTTGAGATATAAACACAATCTTTGAATAATCTTCTTTATTTTGTTGTATTTAATCTTAGTGCTCCTTGGCTTCAAGGGCAAGAACGTGCAGATTTATCGAATAGCCTTGAGGAAATATATATGTAAGTGATGGATGATTAAAAAAAATTCTATGTGTGACTCTATTGTGGGCCTTTATTGGAATCATGATATGTTAGGGCCTTTTCTAAACTTTTTGTTAAGCTGCTTTTCCATTAACAAAAAGAATATACTTGAAAAATCCTTGAAAGATTGGTTGTATAATGTAATTTTATGTATACATTTGATACGAATTCTGCTTAGAAACAAAAATATTCACTGTTATTTAGAACTAATAGCTATAAAGACAGTTAGCCAGCTTGTGAAAGTAAATTCAGAGATACTGCTCTTATTTTGCTATTTTCATAGGCTATGTTGAATGAAACTGGTAACAGCAGAATCCTAAGCATAATTATTCATTAAACTACTATATATTTTTAATGGTAATATTCTTGTATTAGGCCATAAGACTGAGAGTCTATTGATATACAGTATTTTTCACTCTCATTCATTCAACAAATGCTATATGGCAGGCATTGTACTAGATCCTGGATACACATAATTAGCAAAAACAGAAATGGTCCCTGTTTTCATTTAGAATTTGCAGGTAGGGGAGATATTACTCATAACATTGTAAAAATGAATGTCACACTGCAGCTGTGATAAGTTCTGTAAAAGAAAGATATTAATATACAGTACTACTTGAATTTGAAGGAAGTCCTGACCTAGTCTAGGAGGTCAGGGATGGCTTGTTTGACTGAAGAGCTGAGTTACTTAAGTGAAGATAACTCCAGTGAAGGGCCACAGCATGTGCAAAGGCTCTCTGTCAATGAGTTTGGCACATGTCAAGATACAACGTAATGGTGGTATTAAGTGGGAAAAGAGAGGGGAGGAGAGAAGGGAACATGGTGGGAAAATGACCTAGTAATAAACTTCAGACAGGCTGAATTTCCCCTAGTAGGCAGGGGAAATTATGGAGAGTCCTGTAGGGCATGTTGAGGATTTTTGTCTTTATCCTAAGACCTTTGGGAAGCAGAGAAGAGTTTTAAGTGGTGTGATGCCATGATAAGATTTTCATTTTGAAAACACCATTCTGTTTCTGGGTGAGAACTGATTGGAAGGGAGCAAGAATAGATGTGGGATATCAGGAGGCTAGTGAAGTAGTCCAGAGAAGATATTTCTGTGATTTGGGTTAATTTTAATGAGATACATTAATTTAGTACAACAAATAATGTTCTGGAACATCAGTTTTACTGTAATCTGGGAACTGGTAAGGATCGTCTTATATGTTGTAGGTGGCTACCCCATTTGGCACAGTGAGAGAACCCCCTTTGTATCTATGGGATCTAGACCATGTTTCTTTTCCTCACAGAATATTTAATTTAAAAATGCTAAGTCTTCATGGAATTGATTCTATTTGTTCCTTCCTAGAGGAAGTGTGGTCTTCCTTGAGTTCCTAGGTTTACACTTGACTCTGGAAGTAACCAAGAACTGGACATATCAATGGGAGAGGCCCCCATTTAGTGATTCCATCATCCTCAGCATATAAATATTACATGTTTTCTCAGTGAAATGTTTTCTGATACCTGTCCCTGACCTTACTGACCACTCCAACTTTTGTGCCCCCAACAAACTTCTTTCTGTAATCTTTTATTTATGCTTATTTACCAATTTATCTCCCCCCTAAAGTAGAATAAGATAAATATACTGCAAATTTGCTCACCAATGATGTCGTAATTATACATCTTACAGTCATTTTTCAGTTCTTATCTTACTTGACCACCTCTTTTGGTGGTGTTGAACACTTTCTCTTCTTGAAAAATCTTCCAATACTTGGCTTCCATCCTGTTAATCATATTCATCAATTAGATTTTTCTCCTATCTATGCACAATGTCATGCACTCTGAAATGGCTTCCCATCTGCCTTTTTTCTGCCCCAAAAGTGCCCGCCTTTATTAAGAGATACCCTCCTATAAGGACACAACTTGCTGTTCTCCCTAAGTAGTTCACTTGAGCTACTAGAGAATTAGGGAGGATCAGAAATAACAAAGGAGTTTGTTCTAAAGATAGGATATGGTTCATACTGTCTTGTTTATTAAAAACACTTGAAAATAACCCCAGTCCAACCGTAGTATTTTCACACATGTGGTCTAAATAGAAATATACATTGTTTTTAAAAGTTTTGTGTGACAACTTTTAATCATATTTTCCCATAAAATCCCAGCAGTGGGCAACAAGTGAAAAACACTATTAGTCATTGAAAATTAAACATTTTAAATGTATGGATATAGTTCTTAATGTTTATAGTTTCATTATGTTCTAAATATTATAACATTATCAAGATTTTCATATTTATTTGGCATCATTTTGAATGCTAAATTTTATTTTTGCCTAGATAAGATGAACTATGTTTTTTCTTATGTAAGGAGGGACTAAGTCTGAAAACTAAGTCTTTCCAGTAAACATTTTATGAGTATCTCCTATATGCTCGCACTCTGTTAGGAGTTTGGAATTTAAAAATTAATATAGATTAATTGTGTACCAACACAATATAGTGACAGTTACTGAGAGGTTTGGACCAAGTGCTATTGTTTTTAGAGGTCTCTGGGCATGTGGTGAGGTTGTAAAGGAGGGTTCCATTTTGAAGGTGACCTTTGGGTGTGGTGTTTGGCAGGTGATCAGAGGGGGAGAGATTTTCTGATAGAAGGAACTGCATGAGCAAAATCATGTAGGTGTGAAGCAACCTTGCATCTTCAGAGTTCAGCAGATAGTTCAACATGCCGGGGATAGAAATTGAGGTAGGTGTAAGAAAAAAGAACCTGTAAGCTGGTAAGGAGTTTAGGCATTATCTTATAGGCTGTAGGCATTTTAGGCAGGGGAGTGATGTAATGAGATTTGTGTGGCAGTGTGGAGGGTGGGCTGTGAAGAGTTTGAAGCGAGGGACACTGTAGGAAAAGTAGTCAGTAACTAGAAGGGAGATAGTGGAGACCTTTATGAAGGCAACAAGAATGCAAGGGATAAGAACGGTCAGTTAAAGAAGTACTTAGGAACATAAACTAGGATTTGGTGATTGTGTAGATGTAGACTCATTTGCTTATCATACCTTATTTTTGTTTAAACATTTTACATACGGATATTTTGAATATATGAAAATAGTTTAATAAAACAAAAGGTAAATAACAGATTTAAAAATACTTTGGACATTATACTAATTGGTGTTAAGAGAAAATGAAAAGGATTAAAATTTTTTTTAATTTGAATTTATGATAGTCCATTTCAACACTATTTAATTTAAATCCAAGGAAATGATTAATTTCCCACAGCTCTTCACATTCTTATGTATCATGAAGTCTTAGGTTTGGAACTTGGAGAGTGAGGCTTGTCAAAGCGGAAAGTGCACCGGACCAAATTAAACAGGCAAGGAAGACTTTCTTCAAGACTATTGCAACAGGGGAGAGAGGCAGAACTCAGTCTGAACTCAACTTCCTGAAACAAAAGGCAGTATGGTTTTTAAGGTCTGGGATGAGCTATAGAAAAGTACTGGGGGATGCTGGGGGGAGGTTGATCAGTGAGAGTGTCCAGCACATTAAGTTTCTTCCTGAGTTTGCAAGTGTGTTTCTCTGTGATTAGGCTATCTGTGTTTGCAAATTGTGGCTCATCAGGAGTTAGGCCGCTACCAGCCAACAGAGACTGGGAGATAGGGCACTGTCTTCCTTGATGACTACATTTCAAAAGAATGGCTCCCAGGTCCTTGAGAAAGACACTCCTAGGTTCTAACACTGACAGAACTTCTAAAAAGATGTACATAATTCCAAAGGAGCAAAGGAAGAGAGGTCAGGACCTAGAGACAGGAAGCTCAGCCTGTCTGAAGTTTAGTCAAGCTGATGTTAAGGCTGTCTTTGTCAGGCTTCTGGAGTCAGTTTTTGAAATAGTGTGACCTCTTTCTCATCTGTAAAATGAGGATAAAAGAATATCATCATTGTAGGGATTGAGTGACATAATCCATGTAATGTATTTTAGCACTATATAATAGCAGCTTTCAATTTTGTTGTGCTTGTTAGAAAAATCATCTCATCCAGTTTTGTCATTTTGAAAATGAGATGATGGAAACTCAGATCAAGTGATTTGTCTAAGGTCACACAACTTAGTAGTACATTGTAGTGAATAGCTTTAACCTTAAGTCAACAAATATAAATATTGGAAAATTAAAGATAAAAAAATTAGAGCCACAAGTAAAACAAGAGTCACAAGTAACTTGACTTCTGTTTTGATCATTCTGAATTGGATAATAGTTATTTAAGTGTATTTAATCACAGTATATCTCACCTAAAATATCAGTTTTTAATCCAAGTTGATCTTTTATTCAGTTTGAAACAAATTTTGTTCCAGACGTTTTATATTCAGCTACTTTACCATAACTTAATTTCATAAATAAAAGCTTAGCATCTCACCCTATAATGAGTAGTTCTCAGATTTTGTACCAATTTTTAGGATTCAGCTGACTTCCTCAAGGACCATTGGGTGAGGGGAAGAAGGGCATAGGAGGGAAGACTACAGCTTCTGTCTGTTTCTGTGAGAGATTTCATTACAGCAAAGGCAAAAGTTTGAAAACCACCAAATCCTAGTCTGTAGTTAAAAGATATGAACAATCAACTATACTTGAATCAAAAAAAAAAAAAAAGATATGAACAAACTATTGTCATGAGAGAAAACACAAATACAGCAGTAATAACAACAACAATAAAAACACCCAAACCACCATCAGTGATAAATTTGGGGATCCAAGGGAACAAATAATTTAATTTTCATTTTCTTTAGGAAACGTTTCACATCCACTACAAGTTCCTTAAAACGGATTTCAGTAAGTCTAGTTAAATACTAGGGAAGAAGGAAGCATTTAATAAATGATTATGGGCAGAGTGCTGTTATATATTGTTCTGCAGGAAGCCATGGGCCAGAGGAGAGGAAATTTGGAGTTAAGGTTTAATTTCTTTATTATTAGGAAAAATTACCTATTAATTGTGAAAATTCTTCCAAGGTGTTTTCCATTGTCCCCTGCCCCCAGTAGTCCCCTAACAACAATAACAACAAATCTGAATGTGAATACATATTCACAGAGGGATGATTTTCCTGTCTCAAAGGGTGGTTATGAATGAGGATTAAGTGAAGTAACAAAGCATTTTCTACGTCTTATATAGTAGGTATTCAATACACACTGGATATTAGTGCTACTACTTTTGGTGATGATGATGTGATGAATTAAATAGAATGAGATTAGGGGATGGAGAGAATTACATATAAAACCATACATTTGTAAGGATAATAACTGTAAACATTGAGAGAGGGGACCCCATTTTCTCATTCACTACCATACCCCCAGGGCTGCATGTAGTACTTGGTGTATAGGCAAGGCCCTTAAAGATCTGTTGAGTGAATTAAGATAGGTCCACTTGAAAAGAGACTACTTTTGTAAAGTAAGGCAAGATGCTGTAAATCTGTTTTATAGGTGAGGAAACTGAGACTCAGAGTTCAAGTGTCTTACTTGCCTAAGGACACAGCTGCTTGATAGGAGAGCAAAACGCAGTGGGCGACCTGAGCTTTGGAGTAAGTCTACATTCACTTTCTGGCTCTGGACTTCTTACTGCTTATTGTCTTAGACAAGTTAATTGATCTTTCTAGGTCTGCTTTCTCATCTGTACAATGGGGAAATAAAACCTACTCTGTTAGACAATTATGAGCATTAAATGTGTTGATACATATAATGTACTTTGGGCTTAGTATATACTCAGTACATTTTACCTTTCTCTGTCTCTATACCTCTAAATCTTTTATTGAGAAGAGAGGATGGGGGTAGGAATTGTTTAAAAGAAGCTCAACCAACATTCTCAGTTTTTTAAATTGACTTTTGCTCTCTCTAAATAAGACAGGTTGCCAAAGAACACGGAGGATTGTTTTAGTACTCAGGAGTTATGGGTGAGATGGGAGGGTTTGAGGGTACAGAATTATTTGAAAACAGTGTTGTTTTCTTCTGTATGCTTGTTTTGAAATTTTCCTTTGGGTGCTGATGAGTGGTGATAAAAAGCTGATGGTTTCAAGAGCAACTGTTAGAGGAAGGAGGTAAGGTGTTATGAAGTAGTATGATGATTTCTTTAAACACACTTATTAAAACTTACCTAAAATTAGTGTCATCTCCTAAGAGTAGATACTTGGGCCTTTATTTTATTGCTGTTGCCATCATTTAACATAATGCTATGGACTTGAACTATGACATGTTCTTTTTCTCAGTGAGCCTTTGAGATGGATTTAATTATCTGAGGCAGCCAGACAGCTATTTGGAACCAAAATGAATCAATTTGGGCAATAGAATATTTTGTCCAAAACAAAATAAGAATATAAAGTTTTCCATTGATTGTCTTTTAAGTCTTGTAAATTGGCTTTCTGAGGGAGTTTCTCAAATGCTTTGTATTCTTATTTGTTGAAATAAGTACATATAAAAAGTGGTTTGAAATTGTTCAAAAAGTTTAGAAAAGCAAGCAATGACTGGGCATCAATACTACAATTATATTCACTGACAGAAACTAAATCATATTTGTATCTATCTTAATTCATCCAGTTCAAGTTCAGAAATTTTCTTTCCCCTCTTTGGTTGCAACTCTTCTACTTATTTTAAGTGAGCAATGTTAATTTTAATTTGGGAGCCAGTTGGAATTTTTAATATTCATGTATTAAATACTCATCCACAAATGTTAGTAAATTGCATGTTTTTATAAATTCCTCTTTAAAAGGCATGGTTAGGGAATTCCCTGGTGGTCCAGTGGTTAAGACTTAGCTCTTTCACTGCAAGGGCCTGGGTTCAGTCCCTGGTCGGGTAACTAAGATCCCACAAGCTGCACGGCACGGCAACCCCAAAAAAGGCACGGCTAGATTGCATATAATTTATTAGATTGTAAATATGTCTATATTTTCTTGAATTTGAGAAGGAAATTTTTTTAACATTTTTATTGGAGTATAATTGCTTTACAATGGTGTGTTAGTTTCTGCTTTATAACAAAGTGAATCAGCTATACATATACATATATCCCCATATCCCCTCCCTCTTGCGTCTCCCTCCCTCCCACGCTCCCTATCCCACCCCTCTAGGTGGTCACAAAGCACTGAGCTGATCTCCCTGTGCTATGCAGCTGCTTCCCACTAGCTATCTGTTTTACATTTGGTAGTGTATATATGTCCATGCCACTGAGAAGGAAATTTTTAATAACACTTTTTTCCCCTGAATTTTGTTTAGACAGAATATTGGTGAAAGTATTCTTTACCTGTGGGTGGAGAAAATAAGAGATGTCCTAATACAAAAATCTCAGATGACAGAACCAGGTAGGTTTGCTCTTTTAATTTACAGTAATTAAATTTTCATGTAGATATTTTCATTGAAACTTTTAATGAAGATCCGTATGCTGTATTATGTTTTTATATGATAAAATATGTTTCTCTGGAAAGTTCTTTACTCATGTAAATATGGTTATTTCTTTCTATAAGCTTTAGCCTCCTTGGTTTCATATTACTATAAACTCTTATAGAAATAGAATTTTATGGTTAAAGAACTTGGGTCAAAAATCTTTCCTTTCTTGAGGCTTCCCTGGTGGCGCAGTGGTTGAAAGTCCGCCTGCCGATGCAGGGGACACGGGTTCGTGCTGCGGTCCGGGAAGATCCCATGTGCCGTGGAGCGGCTGGGCCCGTGAGCCATGGCCGCTGAGCCTGCGCGTCCGGAGCCTGTGCTCTGCAATGGGAGAGCGTACTGCAAAAAAAAAAAAAACAAACTTTGCTTTCTTTGACTATTGTTATGGTAATATGAACCATGTAACATTCTTCATGAATTATTGGACTATGTAAGTTAGATATTAGCTTCAAATGAGTATAGTGTTTATAGAAAAAGAACTTTGGGAAACACACTGACCAGTATTTAAGATATAAAAATTGACTTTGAAAGTTGATTCTTTAATTGAGATAGAATTCACATACCATGATTATTCACTCTTTAAAATGTATATAATTCAGTGGTTTTTAGTTTATTCCAAAGTTATGTAACCATCACCACTATATAATTTCAGGACATTTGAAAACTGATATTTTGCTCTATTATTATAGTTTTATTGAATCATAATATACAACAACATAGAAATTTCTTATGTTTTCTATTTACTTTGCTAGTCTTTGTTCCAGTTACTACAAAAGCCCTTTAGAGAGGAAAATTACTAAGCCTCATTTTATTTCCAAATAGAGTTTTATTATTATCACTGATAGAATTATTTTCAATTTGGAGAGAAGAGAAATTAAAAAAAAAAAACTAAACCCAATAGTCTATTTACTAATTTTTAGAAGGTTATTTACATGGAACCAATTATTAAGGATTCCCTTACCAAAATCAGTATAGATTTAAAGTTGATAGAAATATATTTTTTTTTCAGAGCATTTTACTGTTTCTCTATAGAAGCAAATGTTTTTACTGTTTCCATTAAAATCAAAGAGATAAATAGTCTGAAGATATTCTGATCATGGGACAATATTTTTTTGAAGTATTTTCCTTGACTTTTTATGATTCATGTTCTGATTTTGCAGCATTTCAGGGCATCTGAGAAGAGTTTTGAAACCTCAAAACAAAAATTGAGTTTTGCCAATCCACCATTCTGGAGTGTGGGATAATTGCAAAAATGGAATATAAGCAAAAATTTAGGACTCCAAAAAGCTTGGAATCACTGAACCATTAGGAAATTTTTTAAATTATTGATCTTAAAATGGTATTTTCCCTTTCCCACCTATATCTATAATTTAGTTTAGCCACACTAAAGATTTTCGAGTTATTGATTTAGGTTGTATGATTTATAATTTGAAAAAATTTTGTTTAGAATTTTTTAATTAGAAATTTTCTAGACTTCATATTAAAATGGAAGGTTTAATAATTCTGAAGAATGAATAAGTGTATAAGCTAGTGATCAGGATATCTCATGAGAATTTTCTTCTCCAGGGTACCCACTTGACAAGTAATTTATTTTTATTTTACTATTAATCTTCAGTATATATTTATTCTTTATTATTTCATTTTTTCTACTACAGAAATGTGAAATTTTTAAAAAAAAATTATTTATTTTATTTATTTATTTTTGGCCACATTGGGTCTTCGTTGCCGCACATGGGCTTTCTCTAATTGGGGCGAGTGGGGGCTACTCTTTGTTGTGGTGCATGGGCTTCTCATTGCGGTGGCTTCTCTTGTTGCGGAGCATGGGCTCTAGGCATGAGGGCTCAGTAGTTGTGGCTTGCGGGCTCTAGAGCGCAGGCTCAGTAGTTGTGGCATACAGGCTTAGTTGCTCCATGGCATGTGGGATCTTCCCGGACCAGGGCTCAAACCTGTGTCCCCTGCATTGGCAGGGGGAATTTGGTTGTTTTTTTTTTTTTGTGGTACGCAGGCCTCTCCTGTTGCGGAGCACAGGCCCCGGACGCACAGGCCCAGCAGCCATGGCTCACGGGCCCAGCTGCTCCATGGCATGTGGGATCCTCCCAGACCAGGGCACAAACCCGTGTCCCCTGCATTGGCAGACGGACTCTCAACCACTGCACCACCAGGGAAGCCCTGGCAGGTGGATTTTTAACCACTGCGCCAACAAGAAAACCCCAGAAATGTTAAATCTTGAAGTAATTATATACTATTTACACTTTTAAAAAATTCTGACTAATTTTAGACTTACAGAAAAGTTGCAAAAATAGTAGAAATAGCTCTGTTATATCCCTCACCCTGCTTTCCCTAGTAACATCTTACATAACAATATTATAATTATAAAGAACAGAAAGCAAACATTGGTATAATATTAACTAAAGAGCTTATTCAGATTTCACTAAGTTTTCCACTAATGTTCTTTCTGCTGTTCTAGAATCCTGTCTAGGATTCTTTGTTGCATTTAGTTGTTATTTCTCCTTACTCCCTTTTAGTCTATAAATAGTTCCCCAGTCTTTCCTTCACTTTTTTGACCTTTCATGACCTGACACTATTTTGTGGAATGTCCCTCAATTTGAATTTGTCCATTGTTTTCTCATGAATGGAGTAAGATTAGGCATTTTGGCAATAATATCACAGAAGTGATATTGTATCCTTCACAGTGTATTATATCAAGGAGCTAATGATATCAATATGCTTTATTAATGGTGATATTTACCTTGATCCCTTGGTTAAGGTGGTATCTGCCAAATGTTGCCACTGTAAAGTTACGATATTAATCAAGCATTCTCCAGAGAAACAGACCAATAAGATGTGTGTGTGTGTGTGTGTGTGTGTGTGTGTGTGTATTATAAAGAGAGAGGAGGAGGGAAGGAATGGTTGGGCGGGGGGAGAAGGAGGGAGGGAGTGGGGTGGAGAGACAGATTGATTGATTTTAAGGAATTGGCTCATGAGATTATGGATGCTAGCAAGTCCAAACTCTGCAAGGTAGGCTGACAGCCTGGAGACCTAGGGAAGGAATGATATTGCAACTCAAGTCTGAAGGCTGTATGTTGGCAGAAATCCCTCCTCCTCTGGGGAGGTCAGTCCTTTTTCTTTTACGATCTCAACTGGAGTCTCACTTGCATTATGGAGGGCAATCTGCTTTACCCAAAGTCAACTGATTTGAATGTGAATTCCATCCAAGAAATACCTTTACAGAAACATCTAGAATAGTGTTTGACCAAGTATCTGTGTACCATGGCCTAGCCAGGTTGACATATAAAATTTTCAGTTATTGTCTTTCTGTTTGTAGTTGATAGTATCTTGGGGGAGATACTTTGAGGCTATGCTAATACCCTATTCCTCCTTAAACTTTAACCTACTGATTTTAGTATCCATTAGTGTATCTTATCAACAGTATTTGTAAACAATATGGTGTTGTAACAATATGGTGATTTTCATTTCCTTCTTGCTATGATTAATTGGAATTCTATTCTGAGAACAGGATGTCTCGTCCACATTTATTTATTTGATTACTTATATTAGTATGAACTCATATTATTTTATTTCGTGAGTTAAAATTCGATACTCTCATTATTTTGTTGCTCAAATTGTTCCAGGTTTGGCCTTTAGGAGAGCCCTCAGGTAGGCTCCTGTGTTCTTTTTATAAGCTTCCATTGTTTTTTGAACATTTCTTTACTCTCTGGAATCACAAGATATTCCAGGCTTATCTTGTATTTTCCTTGTCCCAACCCTGGAGTCAACCACTTCTTGTAGGAGCCCTGGTTCCTTCTGTTGAAGACTGGTGTCTAGAGACCAAGACTAATGGTTTTTTAAGTGTAATTTCTTACTGTCTTATGATCACTCATCATGTCTCATATCCACATAGGCCCAGATGTAAAGAAGAAAACTGAAGAGGAAGATATTGAATGTGAAGATGATCTCATTTTAGCATGTCAACCAGAAAATCCAGTTAAAGCACTGGATTTTGATGTCAGTGAAAATCGAACAGGTATAATGTTATTAGTTTATTTTGAGGAAAGCGGGATGGTAGCATTATGAATGGAATTTCTATACCATTTGGAATGGTATGGAAATTTAGTAAACTCACATTTAAGAAATTCTTATTAATTTGTAGAGAATTGGGTTATTTTTTTCCTGTCTCCTGGCCATTTTGGTGTTTGCTAGGTTTATCAGAATGGTGAGGAAAAAAATAGAAATTTACTTTTTTCTTTTTTTTTTGCTATTTATCTAGAGTTTTGAATTAGTGGTGAGAGAAATTGAAACTAAGAAAAGCTGTGTTAATATTTTCAGTTCACATTCTGCTTTTATACTTTTACTTTGAAATCCTTAGCTGTCTACTGATAGCTCAGAGTTAAATTTTAGTCTTTGCTCACAAATATAAATACAATAATTGAAGGTACAACCACTGAACTAAAGCTAGTGAAATACCTTTAGGATTTTAGTTTTTGCTTAAGCAAATTTGTTCCATGATAAAGCTTATGGATAGGTTGATGTGATAAATCAGCTCTATATTTCTATCAGAAAGTATGTTCCATTTTAGTATTTTAAAATTTTGAATGATATAGTCAATATCCTCAAGTCTTTTACAAAAACATGATAGACCAGAGGGAATGTTCATTCTCTTTGAAGATAGGGAGTTCCCTATGCCATTATACAGTATCTTTTAAACAGTAAATGAAAATTTAAAGTTCTTGCATAGTGTCTCAGTATTAGTGGAAGGGGACAAAGAAGCCGTGAATGAGTGGGGAAGAACACCCAGGATACCTGCTCCTGTTTCACCCTAAGTAGTTCCCATTTTATTCATACACATATCTGCAGATTTGGCATAGGATGTCTTTTGGGAAAGAAGATCCACTATTAAAAGAAAAAGAGTGAAAATCATAGTCATAATAAATCGCATCCAGTTCCTATTGACCTTAGTAGTGTACTAGTGCAGTGGTCACAGTCTGTTCAAGAAGAGAACACTACTGGGGGAAGGAAGAACATCCTGCGTAAACTTTGCTTCTCGCCGTGTCCTGCCACAAACCAGTGCAGTGATTTTTGGCAAGTTATTTAAAGTGCTCCAGAAATATTTTTACACATGTTACTCGAAGTGTTTTCATCACTTATAAAGCAAACTGACTTGGTACGATTCAACAGATCAGTGAATAGAAATTAAAAAAAAATAAATTATTTTTTCTGAATAACTTTTCATCCTAAATGAGGCAGTTGCAGCAGCTAGGATGGTTGGTAAGTTTCTCATCTACGTTAAGGGTAAAATTAATGGTTCTTAAGCTTGTTTAAAAGGCAGAATAACTGGAAATCACAGTACTCGATGGAATACCAATTTGGTGTACTATTGATACATTTAATTCAGTCCTATGAAGTAGGAACAGTTTTATTAGCAGAAGACATTATATTACAGCTATACAAAATAAAGTCATAGATTTCCCAACCAGAGGTCCATCAGCAGTAAAATGAATAAATACTCCATATTAGCAGCTGTCAATCTTTTTGGTCTCGGAGCCCCTTTTTACTCTTAAAAATTAGATGTTATACCAACTTATACAACTGAAACAACTCCAGGATTTGAGTCCCAACTTACCATTACCACTGGGTGACCTTAGCAGGTGAAAATCATTTATAAGTCAAGTAGTTTTATCTTAATGTACAATATATTAGGAAACTTTTTACTTAAAATTATAATTTTAATAGACAACCAGTATTTGTTATTTGAGTTGATTTGCCATATAATTTACATCTCTTTCCCAACTCCCCCCACTATACCATTGCCAATTTTTCAGTATTTGAATGTAAGAATTTAAAAAATAAAAGTAATATAATTCTTTAAATTTATAGAAATAGAAGAATTGCCTCCGATTGATCA